AAAATAAAAGAAACAGCTTTATAGCTCCGTGTATGTATGACCTCTTCACAATATGTGAAGTTTACTGTAGGAAAAATACGAGGGAAAAAGCTTAATCTCAAAAGGACTTTTGTCACAAAAACTTAAGATGTGATATTAAAATGCTTCTCTAGAAATTAATGCATATTTTATACCGGGATGTCTCAAAAGAACCAAGGAATGACTCATAGTGACCCCTATAAGTGACGGCAAAAGATGTTCCTTTGTACGATATGCACGACAAAACCTTCACACGTTACGAACATATGAAAGCAAACATTTATGGAAACTTCAAACCTTCCTTACAGAATGGTAACTCTTTGAACATAGATTTAAAATGAACGAGGAAATCGACTGCAGTAATTTTCGGCCGCCATATTGAATATTTGCCAAGTCGTTTGTCGTTGATATTTTGAATATTTAGGGAGGTCCTTTTGCGTCATCTCTTTTCATTTCGACCAATCATTGTCCATCCTTCCGGAAACAATGCGTCACTGTCATGTTGATTGTTGATTGTTGAATGTTAATGACTAATGCAAGGAGAGATGATTTACGCAGTAGGTCGTTGACTCAATAGGTGTATCTCGGGCAAGTTTGTCGTTAATTTCAAAGAAGATGCTTACCTTGTGGCCAAAATTCTCACTCATCGACAAAATAACTAAGATTAATGTATTTCGACTGAAACCACTGCAGAAGATTACACTTGAGGCACGAGTTGTTGGAGATGGCGGGCAAGTGTTCGAGTCACACGCTCACTTCATCGCTACCAGACATGGCCAGGTTGATGTTTGTCGTGAACCATCTGTTGGTGGATCTTACCGCGGAGTTTCAGCAATGGGACTCTTATGGAGCATGAAACCATCACCTGGGCAGAGAAAAGGAATTCGACTGACGAAATCTGATGTCACTAAACCTTACAAAGTCGTCCTGGACTGTTTCGATGGCCATACGGATCCGCAGGAATCCAGTTCTTTGCAGCCTTTGTGTAGCAATACGTTTGAGAAGGGGTACATGGCGGATGGAGTGAAGAGAATTCCTGTGAGAGAAGGAAGAATCCGTGGAACTCTTTTTCTTCCTCCAGGTGATGGACCTTTTCCTGGTGAGTAGCAAAAGTTTGACGTTTATCTGAAAAACACTGCTATTCAAGAGAAGAATAGTGATTTTAGAGATTAGAAAAGAATCAGAATCCGCTATTAAACTTCCCAGATGTGTCATGATCTCTTTGAAGTGGCAGCAGTGTTAAACATACAGTTCAGGCTTTTACCAAGAATCACTTTTTGGGTTGATCACCTCTATGTAATGCTACGGATCGTAATTCAGAAAATATTACTTTTCTTCAGTTTACTGTTGTGCTACTTCAACAAATCAGCAAACATTAATTTCATTTACCGCGCGCCGTAAACGTTTGTCTTCAAACCCTAACCCCATCTTTCCATGCCGCAAGGTGATCTTGAAAGAATAAAGGAATCTGAGATGTGGTTTTATCAATGGTTAAAACCATTTTCATTAATGCAAGTACTCCTAGAACGTCTTAATTGTTTTAAACCCCTATGAAGGGTCCTTTTTATTCTCTTTGTAATCTCAGGCTTTAATTACTCCAGGAAAAGAAGTTAATGATCTCTCTCGCTAAAAAAGGGTTGTGTAGGTTTTGGACCAACATCGCAGTTTCTGTTCAATAATCCAGTACTAAAATACTCGTTAATAACAGTTAACATGAAGTTAAGTAAAAATAATGGTCATAAGGATAAATTGATTATCAAAATGAGTCCCTTGCACTGGATATGGCTAATTCCGCAATTCGGGATGGTGTTTGCACACCATTTAATTTTATACGCTGTCTGATGCTTTAGCATTCTTCTAGAAAGGAGAGTCAATATCTGGCATCTAAAACTATTTTTATCCAAAAACCTATTATTTTAATGCAAGAGTTACAACTTTCTTAAAAAAAACAATAAACCTGCCAATGTAAAAGACATGAAAGAATAATAATCTCCAATATCACTAGAGTTTATTGTTTGGATGTGTCGTAGCCTCCAGCAGTATTTTATTTTAAGCTTAGTAAGTAAATTTTAAGTCATGAAGTAACACTAGTAAAATTGTTTTGTTTTGAGGTATTTAGTTAGTATAGGTAATCACATGATTTCGAGTGTAATTTGAAATAAATAAGCACGAGTAAATTTTTTCTAAGACTATTATAACATAGCTAGTAAATTTGTCTGATCAAATTCAATTGCGCGAGCGTGCTTCATTTGACAAATAGATTCCAAGTTGCCGTGCGTCTGTTCAGTAATAGATCACAATGACGTCAATGACGTCAAAATGTGGTGAGAACAAAAAAGTGGCACACGAGGCGCAGCCGAGTGTGTCACTCATGTTCTTCCGTCTCACGTCCTCTGTGATCTATTACTGAACAGACGCACGCCAACTTGGAATCTATTTGTTTCATATAATAAAGAATTTAAAAAAGTTTTAATGATGACATCATCTATACGTCTGTCCTCCAATAGATCATAAGTGAGAACCAATCAGAATGCGTGCACAACTGAGCTTATTATATAAATTCCTATTGTGCACGCTCATGACGTCAGCAAACAAATCTCTCGAGAAAAAAAATTTCCATCGGATTGAAAATGTTATAAAATAATTGGTTCATACGTCAGCTGTGCATTCATCTAGATATGAAGCACTTGGACCAATTGTTAAACAAAACCAAAATTGCACGAGTCCGTAGGGCTCGTGCAATTTGTGGTCTTTGTGGTCCGCGATGGATTTAAAGCGAAAGAGATTTTATCAAATCATGGAAAAATACACAAAGCTTTGTATGGAAGAATTTAGGATGAACTTCAGTTAAACATAATGGAAATAGGACCAAGTGGACTCCATTTCGGTCTGTGATCATACGAGTGATTAACAAAATCGGACGACCGCGATTTACAGTATTGGAACAACACAAATTAAAGTACCGTTTCCAATTAATCATGACCGTCCGCAATTTCCGAAAAAAAAAAAATACATTTAGGACAAACAATTGCGGTAGAGACAATATGTAAAGGAAAACATTTTCTCCAATTTGGAAATTCTTTTTTTTTTTCTCAGGATAAGTAGTTGTTGCCATGGTTATTGTGATCAATACTGTGATTACAGGTGTCCGATTACAGCAAACTGTCCTATTACAATTGAATAGAATGATTAGTGAAGAGTAAAGCAGCTAATGCACTATTCATATTTGACGAAATTGTAATGGTTATCAAGATTCATTTAGAAAATGGCGGAACGCTCCTTTCCTCTTGCAACGACTGCTCCACAAAGAAAACGAGGTGGAGTGCATTCCGATCATTGAACAGATAAAGCAGATGGATTAAATCGTTACCATTTTGATGAATTGATCTCAACTGATCGATAATGTGAAATACTGCCTGCAAAACAGAATTAAAAGTCGTCTATTTTACGGTGGATCAATCCAAATTAATAATTTCCAATGAACAAAGCTTTCAGTTTAATTTTTAGCCAAAAAACTTGGTTCCAATATTTTCCAGCATCAATATATATGTCTAACTTCCTCGTGATTGTAAATTCTAGAGAGTCGTGCAGTGATCGGGCAATCCTTTGAAAATGCAGTCCTTAACAAAACTGAACGATCTCCACTGCACATATTAGACATATCTTGCACTCAATCAGTCAATGTTATCTTTACAGGAGTCATAGATCTGCTTGGTGCTGCAGGTGGATTAGTGGAATTTAAGGCTTCACTTTTGGCATCTCATGGATTTGCCACTCTTGCTTTGGCCTACTTGGGCTATGAAGATCAACCATTGATTCCATCTTCAATAAACTTGGATTATTTTGAAGAGGCTGCCAACTGGCTTATAAGTCATCCTAAAGTGCTTCCACATGGTATCGGCATGCACGCTATATGCTATGGCTCATGGATTGCACTGTTGATGGCAAGCTATCAGATCGCACCAATAAAGGCCGTTGTAGCTATTTCACCTCTGGTAATCGCCTGCCCTCTCCCTTTCCAATTAAGAGGGAGAGTCTCAGACATAATACCCCTAGATGAGAGCAAAGTGGTGTCTTCAGAAAAGGGCAGCATCTATCGTTTCGCCCTACCAACTGGCATTGATTACATGAATCCAACAACAGTCTCCAAATACTCAGCTATTACACCAGTTGAGAACATCAATTGCCCTGTCATGCTGGTTTCTGGAACTGACGACTTGTACATCCCCACCGATTTTACAGTAAAGTTCATTATTGATCGCTTGAAGGAGAATGGAAAAGAACATTTGTGCACAAACTTGCGTTATCCCCAAGCGGGACATCTCATCGAACCACCCTACTCTCCTCTTTGTGATTTTTCTTTCAACAAAGTTGCTAAAGAAGTGAGTGGTTACCCTTACGTAGCTTGGGGAGGGGAGACTGTTGCACATGCCAGAGCACAAGAAGACTGCTGGCCAAAGATTTTACATTTTCTGCGAAAACATCTCCAACAAGACACAGAGAGTGAGGTATAAGAATATTTTAATGCTTGCCATGTGTTTGAGAACTTTCACAGATAACCACAGGTCACCGAGGCTTTCGTTCGACCCAACATTAGGTTTCACAACACACAAAAATTGCACGTGCTAAGAGACTATAATCTCTTGCATGTGCCCATTTAATTATATGGGTGGCCCAGTCCCACGCGGTAGCTAATTAAATCATTTCGGTTTAATGTCCCTAAGCACTATGCCTGCACGTTTTGAATTGCTTTCATTCAAAGCTTTATGCGGCTATTTTCTTTGAAGTTTCATAAATTCTTCTTGTAAACAAAATGAATTGAAAATTATCCATTCAATTCAGTTGCACAGTAATCTTTAATTCAATTAAAACCGAGTAAAGTCAAAATATTTTCTTTAACGTTTTGATAAAAACAAGAAATGAATCCTGGAGTGACGAACTAATTCACGATATTTCTACAGAGGAATGCCTTTAAAATAGGCGGCCGTGATTTTTAGGAGTGCCTGTAGGGTATCTGACCAACATTTCCAAAGAAAATTACAAGCTAGTATTGTGGTTCAAAACGTCTTAAAGCCCTCTGATTTTACAATTTCCACGGGAAGGGGGGAGGGGTGAGACTTAGCCAAGCAGACTCCAAGCGCTAAGAGCAATGGTGTTTAAAATAAAAAATCTTGACCAGTTTTAAGTTTATGGATCCGCGTGCAATTTTGGGGAAGTATTTTACTGAAAGCAATGAAGTACTGTGCAATGTTTGCATAGCCTCATCTTTTCTAATCCGAGGGGTCGAAAAACCCTGTTGTGCACACCCACTACTGCGTCCAGGGTTTTCATAACTGCATAGAATCCTGCCAACCCTGTCCTGCTTGGATGGGACTATTTAAACAGGGGAAAAGTCCTCTTTTACGTAAATGCTGTCTACATATCATTGATTGTTAATATATACATTTTAACACTTTTTCTTGATATAATTTCTTGTTTTGTTTTGTTTTGTTTTGTTTTGTTTTCCTTTTATCAATTACCCTATACTTGTTTATATGGGTACTCAAATATTTTTCCTTACTTCAACCCAAAAGATTAACAGTCAAAATATTTATTAAGATATTAATTCAAAAATGGATTATTCTCTCTCCTTAGGTATGGAAAAAAATGACTGCAAGGGAGGAATTTGCTCTGAAAGCTTTTTAATTAAGAATGACTTATCTTGTGTGATCGGTAAAAAAACTGTGCTAAAATGAATACATGTAATTCAGTTAAAGAGCTTCACCCTTAAACTCACACAAGTGATTAACATGTTATTTCTCACTTTGGTATCCACACATTGTGCAATAAACAGGTTATGAGAATGCTCTGCTCTATCAGATATAATTTGTTATTGTCATATAACACCAAAGTCTCATAACTGATATTCAAGGAAATGTAAATCAGCTTGAGGGGAGAAGTAACAATCAGATTTAGGGAACCAGGTAAAGGAATAACAGGGAGCAAAATCGCATGGGAATACATGCAGTTGGTTGTTATCGTTATTGTTGTTGTTTTCTATCAATATATCGGCTGCCTGATAAGAATGGAAACAAGCCCTTCCTAGCTTTCACTTAGCCTCAGTTTTAATCGAGACAAGACAATCTAAGATCGTAAGTCGGGCTACAGGCAGACGCGCTGTTACAAGTGTTGACCACTCACGATGCACAGTGGTTCTAAAAGAAATACAGAGGTACCATGGTCCTGGTTTGTGGGCGTGGCGTAAAACTTTTTCACCCCTGAGAGGCACCAATTCTACAACAACACACTGTCACATATTTTTGGTGCAACACCCTGACAGGTATCACAGAGGCTATTGCTGTGGACCTTTTGAGGCTGAACAGCCCAAGAGGTACTAAACCCGCCCTTTTTAACCTCTAAAAGCTATGATGAGCACTTCAGTCCCTTTCTAACAAGGCGTAGTCAAAAGAGGTCAATTTTTCCGTGTTTGTTCAAGCGTGAAATATTCAACTTTGTCTAGACAAACTGTCGTGCTTCATCATTTACAGTTATGGGAAATCCGTACTGTCAAGCACCTACTTTAATTTGAACGCGTGAGAAGGCTATACAAACGACATTAAACAGGATTTGGTGGAAAATAAATCTTGATTAAATGTAATATGTACGTGCAGAAACATACACACGGTAAATTGACGGTATGGACACACACTTGCATGTTTCACGCTTGAACAAATACGTAAAAGCTGAATACCGTAAACAAAAATACTCCCTGTAGTACGTTTCAAAATTCGAAAGTTTTTACTTGTTTACGTTTCCAGAAAGCTTTTAAAACGGCAGCCGGCTCTTATTTTGAACCCTGAAGATAATACTGGAAAACGATGTAGATCAGAGTATTCAATCATGATTGCTTACCGGGCTGATAACTGACTTATCTTTCAGGCTGATAAGAGAAATGAAAATCGAGTGACACTGCCATCTGCCAAAAAATTACTACGTTTTAAAGATTCCCGCTTTCAAAGATTCCCCATTTTGAAGATTTCCGCCTTTAGAGATTCCCCGTTTTAAAGATTCCCACTTTCAAAGATTCCCCGTTTTAAAGATTCCCGCTTTTATAAATTCTAGTGAGACCTTCGCTAAATCATTTGAGTTCGCGGAACAACCCGTTTCGAAATATACGTTTATTACACAAGCCATCTTTTAGAATGGGTCTACCGCGAACGGTGTGTGGGTCTGTAAGCTTGAGTGTAGAAAAGATGACACCATTCGCTAAGATATTCGACAAATTCACCATGTTCGACATGGTGGAAAGAAGGTTGGGCCTCTGTTACGTGTCTGCGGTATTCCCCATTGCACGTGACTGAGCTTTGTGGAGAAACCCAAGGGTAAACCTATAGTCGGTCGCCCGACTAATAATTTTAAACAAATAAAACTTTTTACATGACCTGCATATTGTTTTGCGGATGAATTTTTGTTTTACGTAATAACAACTTATTTGTAACACACTTGACTTTCGAAGAAGCAGAATGCAAGGAGTTCGTCACCATGGATCTAGTTAAATGGCCTAGCTAGCTTGCCACAAGTCTCCTGGAGCTCAGTGGTACAGCATTCGAAGTCCTACGTATTAAGAAAAGCGGATCAGCTTAAAGTTAAGCAGGCTTTGTTTAACGATTAACAATGACCATATATGGCTAATTTAGAACAATGGCGGAAACAGCTTTAAAATACACGAGGGATTTTTCAAAATTTCCGATTATCATACGAGCGCCAGATTTAAACCATCGGTAAAACTGATGATAAGACAAATCCTCCCCGTGGGGGTGATTCTGGTAAATTTTTAGGTTGCAAATAGTCACGGTGGGGCGGATGGTGGGGCGACTGTAGCTTTCGTATCCGTAGAGTGACTGTTTTTTCCTATATATTGCTTAAAACTGGCGAAAGATATATTAAATTAGAGGCTCACTGCGCGATGCAAAGGTAATGAGAGCATGTGTAACCTGGTATTAACGTCCGAATTCTACCATCATGTAGTAGACTATCGTCATTTGCTCGATTGTTTAATGTGCGTGTATTTAAATTTCGCGCTGCGTGAATGAGATTCTGTTCCCGATGTGCACAAAAAGGTTAATATTCTCCTTCCTCTAGCGTGTGACTTAAACCTGGTGATAACGTCCGAAGCCTCGCGCGTCGTTAATTCATGTAGTTTCATGGGTATCATTCTCTTTCCGTATTTCAATTCAACGAAAGGAGTTTAAAAAAAAAAAAAAAAACAAGGGCGAGTGGAAATAGTCGCACACGCTCGTCAATTTCTCCCATTCGACTCGACTGTTCAATCCGAGTATATTTAAATTTCGCGCTTCGTAAGCAAGAAAAACTGAATAATCTCTTCCCACATTTTTTTTGTGTTTACGCAAACCGACAAAGTACTAAGAGTAATGACTGATAATTTGAAAATGAACAACAGAAGTATAAGTAATGCCAAATAGGCACAACCACATGAAAGCACACATCCTGCTTATGCTAATTTTTTCAATACAACTATCAACAATAATGATACACTAATGACTACTTATCATCAGAAGTATGTTAATGACATAGTGAATTAGTCTACTGGTAGTACGGATTTGAAAAACACATTTGCACACGTCATGAACAAAAGTGGACAGTTCAGAGATGAAGATGACACTACCGGGGTTAAATTCATTAATCAAGACTCATCAGTTCAATTAAAAAACCTATGAAATGAAACTGCATTTGGATAGCGCACGAGGGTATTATTAATCTCGTGTTGGGTTAAACATTATGAACCTACAACTGGTGAATATACAGTGCTATTTAAACTGTATTTTCCTTCAGCATCTATTGACCATTCATCTATTGACATATCAGCCGCCAGTAGTTCTGAGACAGTTTCAAGAACATCAACTAACTTCTTTAGTGATCACAGCAGAAGTAGAATGGAGCTGCAACACATGTCCGCTGATTTAGATATGTCCAATAAAATAATAATCAATTTAGCTACACCAACAAATGATTATGATGCTGAAAATAACTCATGTGCGGATGGCGTTTAACAAGCAGCAACGTTAGGATTTGTACCTGTATACCTTTTTGATTATGGAATGGGACATGATAATGAAAAGGAGACCAAATTTTAACATCAAGATCAAAATATGGAGTTTCCAATGAGTCACATTTCACAGACAAATTAACGTTTAATATGAATGCAACATATGAATTTCATTACAGAGATGGTTACAGGGTGCTTGCAACACATTTCTATTATAAAGGATATGATACTTCCGGATTCATTCTTAACAGGTTTAGGTAACCGCATCGACACCTACCGAGCTTGCAAGCGTTAATGTAATTCTTTACATTAATGACAGAAATGATAGCGCCTCTGTAGAATGAATGCTGCGAACTTTTTCCGAAGTTTTTTCTACTCATGCCCTCTATAATTTCATGGCTTAAGTTGTCTCTCTTAGTTGTCTCTGTTTATTTGTCTCTATTGAGTTGTCAGCTTCCTTTG